AAAAGTGTCCCATTACTGAGACGTGCTCCGTTCTATTGGAGATTTAAGGTTATTTTTTATCGAAAAGACACCCCACTATCTTTTCATCTTCCCACTAAGTGCTAAAACACTCTGGATTTGGGCTCTTGTATGGGCCTTGCACGAGGTTGGGGACTAGTATAAAAAGGTGAAGTTACCTTCTCATTTTTTACGCTTTCACTTTTACCTCTCTCTCTCAGAAGTTTTGCGCTCTTCTCTTAAGGCTCTTGTGTTTGAATCTACTTTGCTTTTGCTCTTTTTCCTCTGATTTTTCTTGAGATGGCCTCTAAATCGAGTGTCCCTTTGGCTTTTTCCAATGTTGATCTTGTGCCAGTTCGAGCTACCTTCCTGAGCCCCCTCTCGAGGAGGAGAAACTTGCTATTTGGAAATCCCATGTACTTATTCCATTTATTTTGAACTCGAAACCTTGTGCATTCCTAGGTCCTTTTGTGCCTCAAGAATCTTCTGAGTCTTTCTCTTCTGCAGAGGGAATTTTAGCTTTTTCATCGAAATATGACTTAGATTCTCTTCAAAATTTGCACAAAGTCTTTCGAACTATGCCCCCAGTCACGAAAGATTTATATCTTCCTTGGTTAGATAGAGTCGAGAAGGAGAAGCAAGATAGTTGGAAAAGTATAGGAATTTATGTTATTATCCAGCTTTCTCGATATAACTTATCATATAATTTTCCTTTGATTATGAGTTCTCTCTACTTTTGGAATCGGGAAACTTCTTCTTTTCACGTTCCTTGTGGTATGATAACCCCTACTCTTTTCGAGATTGCCGCTATTACTGGGCTCAAACCAACTGGTCCGTCATTTCGACCATATTCTCATCCTAAAAATCTTGATATCATTCCTAATTTCCAGAAACTTTCTTATCAGCTCTTTATTACCCTCAATATGAATCGAGAGGGACCTATTACTGAAGAAGAGCATGTTGCTTTTCTTATGTTTTGGCTTTCGGCATATGTTTTTTGCTCAAGATCTCTTCAGGTGCTAAAGGCGCTTCTCACTCTCGCCCAGCTTTTACATGAGGAATCGTCAGTGTGTCTAGGAAAACTTATTTTGGGCAGTCTATACGAAAACCTAAATGAGGCAGTGACATCTTTTAGGTCTGGTGATTCTCTTCCCGTTATCAGCGGTCCCTTTTGGTTGCTTCAACTTTGGCTAAATGCTATTTTTTAGGGTGAGTTTCAAAGTTCTGAGCCACCCAACACATCTCAAGAAATAGAGGGCTTTCGATTAACTTTTCTAACTACAAGCATAGCCAGGAAGCATTATGTCGATGCCTTTCGACAATAATTTTCTTTTTTCTTAAACCTTCATACTTTCACACCTCATCTAGCCCCTTTTTCTGCTCGAAAGGTTGGACCAGTTTGGTTCAAACGCCCTTTTCCATCGAAAACTCCAGGCGCTCAGGCTGAAAGTTTGATAATTTGGAGACAAATTCTTTCTTGTCAATTATTATTTTGTAGCTACACTCTTAGGCCTTACCAGGTGGTAGCTTATCAACCCAATTTGGTAGCCCGTCAATTTGGGTTGAGTCAATTCAAACCTGTTCTCATGCTCCAAGGGGCAAACCAAAAGATCTTAGATAAAGCTCGAAAGAGCATTGATGATCTAAACGAGGCCATTAGTTTTTTTAGAAAACAAAGGCCAGAAATATCTTTAGTAGAATTTGGGCTTTCATACTACTGCACACAAGCTTTTCAAAACTGGTGGGGTAGCTATTATCAACAACATAGTCTTTCTATCGAAGAGTGCCACAGGAGGATGACTTATACTTTTTCTGTATTTCAGAAGGGAGATCCAAAGGCAAAGACGAGAGGTACGCATATTCGAGAAATTCAATCTTTTGAACATTTCTTTAAAGTACTTTACTTACCACAAAGGATATCTCAAACCATTTTTGAAGCTGCTCTTTCCTTAAGAGAAAAAACAAAAGAAAGAGTAGATAGGTATAAGGAATTTCACCCTTTTAACAAATTCGTAGAGGAAATTGTTTTTCAAAAATTTTGACCAACTTTTCCACCTTTGCCAAATTGCGATTTTGCTTTGTCTTTACCAAAAATTTCCCCCAAATGGGTCGATCTACCTTCGACTTTTTTGAACGAATTAGCCCCACCTCGAAATAAGGTAACGGCCTCGAAGCATTTATTAAAAACTTACTCTTACCCTCTTCACCTTGACATTCAAGATGTAAGAATTCTCACAAAATTTAAAGCTGGTAAGGTTTTCTTCTAGTTCTTCTCGAAATTTTGTTGTGTTTAGGATTTCATCTAATTTTTCGAGGTACTTTTTAGCTCTTCCCACAAAACCTTTTATTGGAAGATACGACCTAGAAGATTGGGAAGAGGATGAGCCTCCCAAGAAGAAGCAAAAATCTACTCGAAAAGTTTCTGCTTCTACTAATCGCCAGAAGGGTTCTTCATCTGTACCCTAAGCTACTTCTGGGATATCTAAGGTAAACACTAATTTTGAGCTTGTCTTTTCTTGAAATAAACCTCAATTATGGACTTACCATTATTTTCTGCAGACTAAAAACACTTCAAAGATCAAGAAACTCTCCAAGTCCAAAATTCCTGTTGAAATGACAATTTTGACCCCTATTCAGCCGACGTTTGACCAACCTTCAGCTCCTTCAGCAGAGGCAAGTTCCATTGTAATACTTTTCGAGTAATGTTTTAATTTTTTTGAGAAAATTTTAACATTTTCTTTCTACAGGCTTCGACTGGTGGCACACCAAGTGTCAATTCCCCTCCTAGGGCCACGAAAGAACACAAACGTTTAACTCCAATCCGTGAAGATCCTCAAAAGGGTTCTAATGAAACTTTTGAAGTAGCTCATCCAGATAAAGTCCCAGAGGTTGAAGAGGTTGCTTCATCTTTGAGCTCTGGAGCTTCGAGCTCTTCTGGGGATAGTTCTTCGAGCTCGACAAGTTCTAGTTCTGATGATCAGGTTCAACATAGACAAAACCTTGAGGTAAATCTTGATTTAACTCGAATTTTACTTTAATATGTAGCGTATTTTGCTCGAAACTTTGCTTTATGTTAGTAATTCTTAATATTATTTTTGGTACCTGTTGAGTCTCAACAAACATCACCTCTGGGCTCACCCGAGGTTGACGTTGTTACTTATCAGCTAGAAGATGAGCCATTGTGTGAAGCTGTTCCAATTCCTACTGCTTCAGCCCAAGTTCCAGAAAACCCTCCCATTCCAGTCGAAGGTCCTCCTAGTCTCAAAGTTGCACCACCAGAAGCATCATTGAACTCAGAAATTAAATTTGATGACTTTAATGTCATGGTGGAAGAGGACCCAGAAGGGGTGATCGATAAACTTTTGATTGGTACGTTCACATTTTCATCATCGAGGACGCCATCAGGGTCTCATTCTGAAATCTCCAAGCCTGCTGAGCCTGTTGAGAAATTGCTCGAAGAACTCCGATCCTTGGTTTTTGAGACGAATTTTATGAAGAACTTGCCAACTGATAAGGTCTTGGTCTCGAAAGTCGAAGCTCTCTTGACATCGCTGAAGCAACAAGTTTCTCCATTGGCTGAAGGACTTCAACGCTTTGAAACCCTTTTTATTGATTCCATAGCCATCATCGACCAAATTTCTATAGTTGGTGTTGAACATGAGCGAGCCCAGGCTGCCCAAGATGCGGCTGTTGAGAAATTTAAAGAATCAACCACCAATGCTGATTTAAAACGAAAAAATGTCAAGGCCAGAATGGTTGAATTGGAGAAAGAGCTCGAACGACTCCGAAAAGAGGACACAATGCTGGAAAAAGTCAGTGAGGGTTGTGAGAGAAAAAGGCAAGTTCTTATTGAAAATGTGAAGACTATCACGATCGAAAGAGCTCGGGCCATGGAGAATATTTCAAGTTTGGACGCAAAATGTACAGCTCTCGAAACTAGATATCAGAATTTGAGAGCCGTCTTTACTAAGATGCGCTCGAAACCTCCTTTTTGAGTTTTTATGTATTTTATTCTTTGAATTCTAGTAGTTAGGCTTTTTTTTGTAAATACTCGAATTCTACTTTAAATGAAATTTATTCATTTGGCCTTTTCTTTACTTGAATTATCTTTTATTTGCCTTGACTCAAGTTATTTTCACTTCATGTATTTCTGATTTATATGGTTTTAAGTATTTACCGTTAATCGACATGATTCGACTATTAGTTCCAATTTCTCGAATTGAATACGCATTATTTGAAAACACATTTTCAATCTCGGAGGGGCCTTCCCAATTGGGCGACCATTTTCCAAATTTTCTTGATTTTTTATTGAACAGTAAAATTACTTTCCACACGAATTCACTAGTATTAAAAAACTTGTTTCGTACCTTTTAGTTATATGACCTCGAAATTTTTTCTTTTTGTCGAATCATTTTTTCTAAGGCACTTAAGCGAATTTCATCCAAGACATTCAATTCATCGAACATTAAGGCCCAATAATCTTCACTTGGTATCTCGAAATGCCGCTATAATCTAACTGATTGTAGATTCACTTCAACAGGTAAAACAACTTTATGGCCATACACAAGTCGAAATGGGGTTGTCCCCGTGGCCTCATTTGGAGAATTTCTATACGCCCATAATACTTGGCTTAAAGTGTCATGCCAATTTCTTGGCTTTGATCCAATGTGTTTTTTAATTAACTTGATCAAAATTTTATTTACTGCCTCCACTTGTCCATTGGCCTAAGCATAATATGGGGTTGAAGTTATCATTTTTATATTCAAGGACTCTGCATATTGAGTTACTTTTTGACCTACAAAAATAGTTCCTTGGTCTGTTGTCAAGGTTTCTGGTATACCGAATCGATGAATTATGTATTCGTCGATAAAATTAACATCACTTTGAGTAACTTCTTTCAATGGAACTGCCTCAGCCCACTTCGTAAAATAGTCGACAGCTACAATGATGTATTTATGACCTTTTGTCGAAGGAGGATGAATTTGGCCAATTAAATCCAGAGCTCAGCCTCGAAAACGCCATGGCTTAATTATTAAATGTAATTCTGAGGCTGGAACGTGTTGAATATTACCATGCTTTTGACATTCTTCATAAGATTTTGCATATTCAAAGCAATCTTTAACCATTGAGGGCCTGTACAATCCTTCTCGAAGTAACATCCATTTCATTCTTTCTCCAGCTTGATAGGCACCACAGATCCCTTTGTGGATTTTTGCCAAGGCAATATAAGCCTCATGTTTGCTGAGACATCGAAGTAGAGTTCCATCAACACTCCTTTTATACAATTCATCAACCAAAATTATATAATTAACTGCTCGAAATTTTGTTCTTGGATCAGTTGGAATGTTGGGGACCTTGAGATAATTGACTAGAGGTTTCCTCCAATCTTGGTCAGTTAAGTCATTTATGTTTAGGATCTCAAGGTTTGTTGACCCTAACTTCTCCCTTATCTCTGTTAATTTTGCCAGGTTTTCACTCGAAATTCTATATTTTGAGGCAATTTGGGCTAATTCATTGGCGTCTTGGTTTTTGTTTCGAGGAATATGTTCTAGAATGACTTCGCCAAATTTTTGTAATAACTTATTCACTTTTACCCAATATTCGACGAGATTTCTACTTAAACATTTATATTCTTTGGTTAGTTGTTTTATTACTAACTCAGAATCTCCTCGAATGATTACATTTCTTGCCCCAAAATTTAGCAGTATTTCAAGTGCAGCTAATAATGCTTCGTACTCAGCTTCATTGTTTGAACATGCCGATTTTATCTCGAAGAGCAATTTTGTTGGGATTTCGTCTGGTGAAATTATCAGTATTCCGATTCCAATTCCATTTTTGTGACTAGATCCATCGAAGTACAATTTCCATGACTTTAAACTTATAAAATCTACTTCTTTGATTGGAATCGAATGATCAACAACGAAATCAGCAACAACTTGGCCTTTTACAGATTTTAGTGGTTTATATATTAAAGAGTATTTTGTTAAAGCCAACGCCCATTTTCCAACTCTACCATGCAAAATAGGTTTCGACAAGAAATATTTTATTATATCATGATGTGAATAAACATATACATTGAAAGGCCTAATATAATATTTCAATTTCTCACAAGAAAAATATAGACACAAACATAATTTCTCGATTGGACTATATCGAGATTATGCTCCTATTAACATTCGACTAAGATAATAAACAACTCTTTCGACACCATTTTCATCTTCTTGAGCTAGCATGCTCCCAATAGTTTCTTTTGATGTCGAAATATATAACTTCAAGGGAAAACTTTTCTTTGGCGGAACCATTACTAGTGGTCTTGTCAAAAATTGCTTTATCTCCTCGAAAACGGCTTATGCTCTGCCTCCCATCGAAACTCTTCTTCTTTCTTTAACTTCAATAGGGATGAGAAGATTTTAACCTTGCCAGAAAGGTTGGAAATAAATCTTCGTAGAAAATTTATTTTCCCTAGCAACGATTGCAGTTGTTTTTTAGTCGAAGGGGCTTGTGTCTCAGATATTGCTTTGCGCTTATTCTTGTCGATTTCAATTCCTTTTTGGTGAACAATAAAGCCAAGGAACTGTCCTGCATTAACACCAAAAGCACACTTTAGATGATGCATCTTCAAGCCATATTTTCGCATTCTTTCAAATGCTTGTCGAAGATGACCAACATGGTCACTTTTACACTTAGTTTTCACAACAATATCATCAATATAAACTTGCAACAATTTGCCTATTATGTCATGAAAAATAGTGTTCATTGTCCTCTGGTATGTAGCTCCAGCATTTTTTAATCTGAATGACATTACTACCCAATCATAAGTTCTTAAAGCTCCAGGGCATCGAAAAGCTGTTTTTGATATATCCTCTTCAGCAATAAAAAATTGGTTATACCCTGAATATCCATCTAACAAACTTAAAATTTCATTACCTGCTGCCGAATCTACTAACATATTGGCTATTGGCATAGGGTATTCGTCTTTCGGTGTAGCAGTATTTAGATTTCAAAAATCAATATAAACTCTAAGAGATTCATTTTTCTTAATCACAGGTACTATGTTCGAAATCCAGTCAACATACCTGGCTGTACGAATAAACTTGGCTCTAAGGAGCCTTTCGATCTCTTCCTTGATTTTTGGCAAAATCTCTGGCGCAAATCTCCTAGGTGGTTGCTTCACTGGCCTCTTTTCTGGTCGAATTGGGAGTCGATGTTCGACTAATTCCCTCGAAAGGCCTGACATCTGGTCATAATCCTAGGCGAAGCAATCCTTAAATTCTCTTAGTAGCTTGATTAATTGGTCTTTTACTTCTTCATTGACCAATTTATTGATGAAAGTTAACCTCGGCTCTTTCTCATCTCCAAGGTTCACCTCTTCCAAGGGATCCTGTGCCTCCATTTTTGTCCCTTTTCGAGCTGAATCTCTCTCAAAGCCAATAGGTGCATCATCATAGATGCAATCAAGCCGGACATCATTGCCTTCGGTCTCTAAGACTGAATCTTCTTGAACCACACATGTTTCGTGTACTGTGTGCCTTTGTTCGGATAAATAAGTTGAACTGGTCTTAATGGTTGAATATGGTGGATCAGTCTCCCATCCTTCGGCTGTTTTTAGAGTCGCCTCTCTTCTTTCGGTTAGATAAACCAAACTTTCGATCATGTTGATATCTGCATGGCATTGGATTGGGCCTACAACTTTATGAACCGAGTTTTCTTCAATTTTTTGTGATTTTATGACCGAACTAGATTTATCGGTCTTCAAAGTGTTCTCGACTTCGAGAGCCATTTTTATTTTATTTTCGGTTACGTAAGCCGAAATTTGAGCCAAAAGGCTCTCTTTAAGGTTCTTCATTTTCATTCTTTTCAGCCTCTATTATTTCTTAGAAGCCGTAAAAACCTACCGAAGGGTCTAGGCAAATCTAGTGTCGAATTTCACAAGCATTTGGTAGGAGAGGATTTCGGCCAAAATTAGGGCCGCCTATATCTTCTATACGAAGTGGCACAATGTTAGCAAACGACTTGTTAAATATTTTGCCATCGAGACTGCTTACATGAACTTCAGCCTTAAAATAGCTCTGATCTCCATCGACACATTCCAGCACTCCGTTGTTATTCCAAAGACATAGTTTATGATGCAGTGAAGAAGGTACTGCCCCAACTCCATGAATCCATTCTCTCCCGAGCAGTAAGTTGTAGCTTGCTTTAAACGTTACTACCATGAAAATTATTGCTTGAGAAACAGATCCAACCCTCAAGTTAACGATTAGGGCCCCTTTGGAACTCGAAGATTTCCCTTCATAATCCGTGAGTACCAAGTTGTGGGGGAGCAAATCCTCTTCTGATTTTCCAATCTTTTTCAATAAAAAACTAGGCATAATATTGATAGTTGCCCCGGAATCGACAAGGACATTATTTACTCGAAATGTTTCATCAATTCTAGCCGCAATGTACAGCGGCTGATGATTTAGCAAGTGAGTCATCCTCTGCCAAATAACAATAACCCCATGGGTTATTATCGGGTTCGTCATCAGCATAGAAGTCTTCTTCGTCTCCTTTGCCGATTCCTTCGGCGTATTCAGCAGGCAGCATGGATACGACCCCAAGTATATCTTCGAGATCATCTTTAAAGCCTGATTCGAATACATCGGTGATCAATTCATCTTCCGCATCGTACTTGATTTATGGGCTTTTCATCTTTACATCCTTTTGCCCTACTAGTGCTCTCTCTTGAGTAGTTTTGACTTCGACACTAACCAGGGTACGCTGCATATTTCTGGTGGCATTTCCCTGGGTTTATTGGACTTGATTTTAAGCTCAAATTTGGGCTTGGATTCGAGCTTGAGCTTGTGCCTGGACTTGAGCTTAAGCCAAGGCTTGTGCTTCATGCTCAGCCTTCCTGATTCTTTGAGCCCTTCGCCACTGAGTTTTAGTCATGGGAGCCTTAAAATAAGGCTATTTTGACTGAAAATATGGGCTATGAAACCCAGTTTGAGCAAAAAACTTAGGTTGTGAGAAAACCTGTTGTGACATGACCGTCAAATGTGACGATCCTCCCTTTTTGACCATTTGCAATTTTGGTCGAGTTAATGATGGGTGCAGCACGTTTCAAACCCATGTGTTGCTCGGACCGTTTTGAGCAGGTACGAAGGTCTTGCTTTGAACAGTTTGGGGATCACGTATGGTGATAGAAGCATTCTAGGTCTGGATCCCTTTGTTCTTGGTGATCACCTGGTTGGTGGTCACCTGATAGTGTTTCTTCATCTCTGATTGCTCGAAGGCTTTAGCCGCCGTTTTATCGAAGACGGTGCTACAACTTGAGCACAGCATGACCTCACTGTCAGCTTCCTTCTTTCGAGTTAGAAAGTCCAGTAGCGAGTCACCAGCCCTTGGGAAGATTTTAGCTTCTTCCTTCTCGAAAGCGTCGAGGGTGTCATTCAAAGAGCCTTTTCCTTCTATTTCTTCCATAGCTCGATCGAATGACCCCTGTTTTTCAGCAACATCGACCATCAGTATGTCGATAGGTTCCACGAAATTAGCTTCTATTTGCATGGGATCAGAGTCAGTTTTCATCGACATTTTGGTTTTTTGCTCGAATTTCAATCATCCTTACTTAATAGCGTCTTGAATAAGATCCCTGAAACGAACACAGTTATTAGTCCAATGACCATAAACATGATGAAACTTACAATATTTTTGACCCTTTCTTTGTTCTAGAGTAGAGATTTTATGATCATCAGATAATATAATTTGCCCATCCTTTAATAAAATGTCAAAAATATGATCAGCTTTAGAGACATCAAAGGCATAACTTTTATTAGGCCGAGTTTTGTCCTTAATTTCGAGTGGTTTTAAAGATTGGCAAACATAAGGAGGTCCTGGTTTTAATTCAGCTACACTTACCTCATTTACCCCTAAATCAACACCTTCTTCGTCGAGATCATTTTCGCTTCCTATTTCTCCTTCAGCGAGACCTATGTAAGCCACTTTGTCTTTTCGAGGAAATTTCTCTATTTTCCTAGGAACAGATTTTTCAGCCTTAAGTTGCTCGATTTGCCTCACTTTCATCGCTAACTGCGACATGTCTCTTAGCTGTTGATTAATCAGTTTCTTTCTAATCGAGTACTCTAATCCGCCTACAGCTATTTGGACTAGTTCATATTCTGGAATTTGAGTAAAACATCTCGACCTCATTTGTCGAAATCTACTTAGATAATCATCAATGGATTCATTATGTATTCTTTTTATATTAACTAAATCCATTAAGCTAACTTTCGCTTCACCATGAAAGAATTGTTCATGAAACCTTCTTTCTAATCGATTCCAATTATGAATTGAATTCGGGGGTAAGGTTGTGAACCAGGTAAAGGCTCCCTTAGTCAAAGAACTAGGAAAGTACTTCAACTTTAAATCTTCATTTCGAGCTAAATCTCCACATTCTATGACATATCTAGCTATATGTTCAACAGTGGATTCACCGGACTCCCCGACAAATTTAGTGAATTTCAGGACTTTCCAACCCCGAGGCAGTTCAGCCTGCAAAATTGCCTCAGAGAATGCTGAGACAAAGTAGGGTCTATTAGCATACCCTACGTTGAACCCATGTTGATTCAACACTTGTTCGACTACATTGGCAATATTTTGAGGATTCGGGTTGTTTGGATATTGAATTTGATGCCCCCTACATTATTTTTCCTAACTTGCTCGAGTATTTCATCCGCATTCTGATTTCGAGCAATAATAAAGGGTTGATTTCCCTGGAAATCACCCTCATTTTGTATCAGAAGGTTTTGGTCAAAATTTTGACCAATTTGCTCAAATGGAGCATTTGGATTTCGAGCAAAAACTGGGGGTTGGTCCACCTGGAAATTTTCCTCATTTTGTCTTGAAAGATTTGGACCAAAATTTGGTCTACTTTGCTCAAAATTTTGACTATTTCGACCAAGACTTGTGGCATCTCGATTAGGTGTTTGGGCAACATTTTTCCTTTGCCTTATAGGGACTTGGGGTGCCCCAAAAACGTCAGCAATTCGACGCATTTGTTCAGCTAAAACTTGATAGCTGGTATTAGTCATTTCCACAATGAGATTCAACACAGTGGTCATCTGATGGGTCAGCATATTGACCATCTCGTGATTGCTTTCATCCATTTGTTGCCTCATGGAATGTAAGGCAACATTCGAAAACGAGCTAGCAGGAAGTGAATCCCCGCTCAAAGCTCCAAACGCAAATTGCGTTCCAGGTACTCCACCAATCGTATCCATTCCTGGTGGGATGGTATGAAGTACACCCATTCCTGGTGGAATGGTGTGAGTCTGGGATGACACAGTTGTCACCACAGGGTTGGAGTATGTTGGTACTCCAAAAATAGGTGGCATACACACAGGAGGTAAGCCAAATGGATGATCCCCCAGCCTTGGCCTTGGGCCAGGATTTATGCTGAGATTGGTTGGCATAGTAGCCATAAATTGGCTAACTACAGGGGATGACGGCGTAGGTAACGTCGTCGTTGGTGTGGGTTGTGTGGCAGTAGTAGAACTGCCGCTTACATTTTCTGGGTTGGTATCACTACCATCATTTCTAGAATTGTCATTCCCAGAACTAGAATCACTATTTCTTCCTCTATTAGCCATAATACAACGTCCGTTACGTAATATCATGCAACAAAGCAATCAACCATTCAAAACACACAATATATTGTCACTGGGCGTGCCAATTTGTTTACGGTGAAAAATGACAATTGTAAACAAATAATCCAAAGATCAATCTGGGGACTAGATTTAGGTCCTCTTGGGGTTCTTTTAAGTGTGTTGTTAACGTAACGGTGAAATGGACGCGTAAATCAGATAATTTATCAACAATAGTGAATATTAAATGTGTAAAATTGAATCAAACGTAGATGTTTTTACAAAAATGTAGTAAACAGGAAATAAACAGCGTACAAAGACATAAACAGCAAGAACTGAAATTAAAATGCGGAAGGATAAATGTGCAGGAATATAAAGGTGTGTGAATGTAAACGTACGACTCCTCACAACGGCGAACGACAGCCACCGTGGGTCTCCTTGTAGCTGGTGTCTGGCGCGGTGCAGGGTTTTAGCGTCTCAGAGAATTTAGGTGCAGTGTCTGGGTGCAAAAAGTCATCCTTTGTAAAATGGTGCTTTGGAATATTTATAGACATGAAGACCACTACCGTTTTTCTCCTTTTGCAGGCACTTCTTAGTAACTACCTTCAACTGTTGATGC